TACTACTAGTAAGGCACCTGTTACTACTAGCGTGGCACTTGTTACTAGTAGCTACTTGTTCCTAGTAAGGCACTTGTTACTAGTAGCGTGGCACCTGTTCCTAGTAGCGTGGCACCTGTTACTAGCACTTTTTTTCCTTTTCTTCATTTCTATTTCGTTGTGATTTTGCTCAAGAGGAGGGGTGTTTGTGTCCTGGCATGAGGCTTTGGTCACTACTGGGGCATCTGCGGAACAGGCAATGATTGCCGACAAGCTTGGAAATCGAGAGCGGCCCAGAGCAAATCTTCCAAGCGCAATCAGTCATGGCCTGATGAAGCCAGGCAGCACGCCATGCTGATCGGGCATTTCGATTGCCAATGGCAGCCATGGCCTTGATTGAAGTTTTGATCCTGCTTTCAGTCATTACGTTTTAAGGTGTATATACGGTATATATTACGTTGGATATCTAAATCTCTCTCTCTCTATATATATGCATGCAAATAATTCATATAGTTTGTTTTGGATTCAACTTGTTATTGTTGATTTCTTATTGTTATTGATAGAATCAAGCAAAAAAAACTGTTCTATTTGTAATGTAGAACGGGAAGAGTTGATATTTTCACATATGCAGACTATTATATATATATATATAATAAGTTTGTAGGATCGTATTTTTGGCTTTAGATGAGCTGACATCATGAATAGTCAGAAATACGAAGAGGACGTGTACAAACTCTTCAACAGGATTGCTATTTGCAATTTTATTTTCTGAACATTCTTTTGAGGAACTTTTGAACAAGAAGCTACTAGGGGCTCCTGACCTTACTACTAGGAGCAAGGACGCTACTAGGGGCTCCTGGCATCGCTACGAACGGAGCAAACCTTTATGATTGTGACATATTCTGAAGCAGAGGCAGGGGATATTTTCATGTGACCTCAGGAGCCAGGCTCTGAAGCCATGGGCGACTTTGAGGGCTTCTTCCCGCCCAGGCTCGTCAGCTGGGAGCAGATTCCAAGAGGTTTTTGCTTAAAAAGAATTAAACAGAGATGAAAAGAACAGAGAAAAGAGAAGCAAAACGGAAAGTGTTTATACCCCTTCCATCAATCAGGCCCCCTTGACTACAGGCCCTTATATAGTTTTTTTTGTTCATATTACTTTTTTGCTTCACCTTCTCTTTTTGATGGTGTATGGTCCGGTGATATATCGATGTTGCATGCCAGGTGGTGGGCCCTCTGGGGCCGAAAAGCTCTGGGCAGCACTGATGCGCTTTTGCCAGCACTTTGTGCCAGCCGCTCGGAGACGTCGCATGCGAAGTCGTCCATCTCCGCCTTTCGCAGGTGTCGCACAACGATGTGGTCACCGGGCGCAGGATTGAGCACCGGCGAGGCCGTGGCACATCCCTATATTGCTGTGAAACATCGCTTCTCGCGGACCTGGATTTAGCCAGGTACTTTCCTTTGATCCTCTGCTGGGTCACCTGGACGCTGTGAGTGAAAGCCGAAAGGCAACGATCTGAGTTTTGAAATAGGCGCACCTTGGGCCGCAGAGCGGAGTCTGATCACGGCACCAAATGGAAGCAATCCCCGCAAGTTGGCCTATGTACACAGTTTAACCTCAGTTGGAACCGAATGCTGTTGTGAAGAGAGCTGCACACACGCACACATACACATATAGTCACACACACATATATATATATATACTGTAAACATTGTGCCAATGAGTTGTTGGCTGCAGCTAAAGATCTGAGCGAGTGATGTTGCCGTTTGTTCTCAAGGCTGTAGGCAGTTTGTTCTCTAGAGGCCGTGTCTGATGTATCGGACGCCTGCGGAAAGAAACCCGACTAGGGCCAGAGACACCAGTTGCGGATAAGACGGCTAACGATTTTGGATGTTTTTTGATCTTTATTCTTTATAGATTTGTACTTACTTACGATGGCAGTTTCTGACGAACAAGCTGCGCGAGAGCCAGGGAGCACCCCAAACTCACTCACCAACCATTAGCCTTGTCCTTTCACACATCCACAGCCTGCACATTGGCACCTGACACCCTACAGACGTGACAAGCTGCACCAATTCCCACCGACCAGCAACTGGTCACCAACTCCAATCGGCCGCTCGATCCCTTGATTTGGCGCCTGCTGGCAGCTGGCAAGACACCGAGAGAATCTTCAAGAGTAGCTAGAGCAGCTTAGTAGGTGCTCTCACCTTTGGTGTTTTCAGCATGACATGGTGCAGCCTCCGCAGAGTGGTGGCATGGTTCCGCAGCAACATTTTGTCCGAGCCAGCCGTAGCAGTACCGCCTTGGACGTGGTGGCATGGAGGAGTTTTCTCCGAAACTGGAAGTGGCCACTTTCTCCATGGGATTCTTGGCACAATGAGGAGCGAAGTGGCTCCTTCTGCATCATAGCCAGTTACGTACATATGTTGACATTGCTTCTGGTTCGTTCAGGATGATTCTGGGTGCCTCAACGCCTTTTCGCCCAAACACCTGGCGTGCACCGTGCCATTGCTGGATACACCGGTGGCAGGTGTGGGGGCACGGAGCTGCACACATCCAGAGGATGTTAGTAGTAGCGGCGCGTTCTTGCCACTGTATGCCAGTACCCTCCTTGCTCCTAGTAGCGATGCCCTTTGCTACTAGTAGCTTCTAGGATGCTCATATTTACGGCATATGTTTCATTTGGTTTGCTAAATGTGTTCTCAAACTTTTGCGATGACACGGTGCAAGAGACCTCAATTACCTAACTACGCCAAGGTCAGCGCGGCCAACATACCGCTCGGTGTGCAATGGTGATGGCACCCTGGTGCGGATTGGTTGATATTCATTTGATCATTTTTTAAAACAATATTTTTTGGATGTTGACATCGGACTGCTTCGTGAGAACATATATATATATAAGCTCTTCAAAACTACCGTATGTAGAGGATTCGAACAGCTTGCAGCTTGCTCTGTGCCATGGTCTTAGCCCTACAGATGAAACATGGCTGTTTCAAACGCCGGCACCCTGTGCCAACAAGAGCTCAGGACATGTGGAGTCCGTGCGTGTCGAGTATGACCCTGGAGTGGTGTCGTACGAGGCCAGCCGCATTGCAGTGTTGCAGGGACCAATTCATGTTTGCACGGGTCGACCGTGAAACTCCCACTTCGGCAGAAAGTGATGCCGAACTTGGTGCCCAGGAATTGCTGGAGATGTTTTGGAAGAACCACCGGCCCAAGCCCAGCGAGAAAGGCGCAGCGGGTGTAGCTGGATCACAGAGTCGTAGAGGTTCAAGATGCTTTGCAATGCTGCCCATCTCTAAGCACATGTGACATGCTTGGGCACTGTGACCTGTGTCAGGACAATATCGATCAAGCATTTGGTATCACAATGAGGCTCAGAGGCCTGGATGTAGCTGCTTTCACGTCAAGAGGCGTACCATTCCAGAAGGTTTCCATGCCAATTACTGTAGGTTTAGACCCCGGTGCGCCATGTAATGATACGACTGGCTACAAGTGGCAATTTGCGGAGACATGTGTCTATATACTGAAATAAGATCAATGATGGGAAAAGCTGGGACACGGCCCACCGTCAATTATGGTTTTACTGGTGCAGGAAAAGTCTTTGAAAGTTTCTATGCTTCGACCCTTTAGCAAAACAGAGGCATGCAGCAGAAGCAAGCCTCCCAGCATGCAGCCGCGGAACGCAGCTTGCAGCGGCTTGTCCCTTTCATGAGGCTGAAATACACCATCAGCAACTTGGCACAAGTGAAGCCACATGCAGAGGAGCGGAGATGGAAAGTCTCGAGCGCTTTCAGGAAAGCCAGTCCTTCCAGAACCACTAACACAGTGGACGCTAGGGAGGAGAAGTCATGCGAATCTCGTCTGTATTCATTTACAATCCCTTGTGCGGAATTGGCACAATGTTATAAGGTTGGTTTGTTGCTACCGTTGGCTGTCGTCGACCATTGCCAGTCCATATGAGATAAGATAGATGGACTGATAAACTTGTAGTTTTGCTCAGGCTTTGCAATAGAGTTGCAGCTGATGAAGCTGGAGATAGAAAAGGTCTCTGTCCAAGAGCAGGCATTGAGCATGGTTTTGCACAGGAAAGTGTTGGTGTGTGGCTCTCATGCCTTCTTCTTTGCACCAAGGGCTCTGGATTATTCTGTGATGCTTTTCTTGATCCCGTCAGGCCTCTTAGAGCTGCTCTCTGGCTGAAATGCTGACTGTTATTGTATTGCGCGAATGTACATACATACATTTTTCATGAGGCAATGGGCTGCCAAAGCTGATGGCATGACCATTGTCCAAGGTTAACCTCTTGACAGGCCCAACAGATGTGGATCCTTGTCGTACCAGATGGACAGGTAGTCAATTTTCGGCGCGGAAAAGGGCGTGCATGTTTTTACTTTTGCCAAAGAAAAGGCGAACTGCGCACTGGACAAGATGCTGGACACCTGTCATGCCGGAAGAGAGCAAATTATATAATGAACAAGGGCGAGTACTTCTTCACTGCTTGAGGAGCCAGAGTGATGCCGCCGATCAAAGGCGTGTGTGACCAAGTGATCAGTATGGAGCAGCGAGGAATGGGAGGATGTCACAGACATGATCTCAGACCTCGATTTTGGGCATGCAGTATGCAGTGTCTTAAGTCAATTTTCCCAGGTGGAGCTGGAAGTGGTTGAAGGCATCACTGAGCACTCCAGCCGGGTCGCGTTGAAAGGCACAGCCATTGAGCCGATGTGCTGCCATACTGCGAGGGTGACTATTGGTTTGTAAGATGTATACACACACATATATATATATATGTATATATATACACACACACACATATATATATATACACATAGTATTCTGAAAAAAAAAACTATGGTCCGTTGGAGCCTCCATGACGTGTGTTTACTAACTATGACAGTTGGAGCCTCCATGACATGTCTTAGCCGCGTGAAATAGTTGGAATCGTTGCAACTGGTCATGCTGGGACACTCAACATTAAGTCCACGAGTCCACCAGATTGATACTTGCCACAAGTCGTGCTGCCATGCCACGCCCCTGCCATGCCATGGGCCCATGCAGGTGTTTTTCAGAACTTTGGTGATGTGGTCTCCTGCTGGGATTCAGCCTCAGGACAATTCAGCAAAACGCCGAGCAGAAAGTCAGACAATGTCAGACATGCAAATTGACCGGGTCTCAAAACTAGAGGCAACCTAGAGCTACAAAGTCCTTTTGGATAACATACTCCTGGCAAGTTTCTGTTTTCCCTAATTAGGGGGCGGGGGCGCGTGTACATGCACACATGATTACACATGCACAAGCCCTGCGTGCGTGCGCCTTCCCTACGTCACAAGCAGCTGCTGTACCTTTCATTCACTCCATCCGTTAAAAGTCGCCAAGTAGCGGCTGTGCCCCCGGAGGCATTCAACTTGTTTTAGCTTATGTATTTGGAAGGGCTCAGGGACTATCATGGGCTATCATGGTCCTTGTGGCACGCTGAGTCTTGATCCTTGTTGCCATGAGGTGCCCCCCCGTCGACCGGCGTGGCATCGACAAGGCTCTGACAGCCGAGCGCTGCGTGTCGTCTTGTCTTGGTCAATGCACCAGGCCTCCGTGCGCTTTGCCGCTGGGGAGGCAGCTGCAGCGGCGAAGGAGGCTTGTGATGCCGGACAGGTGCGGAGAATCGTCCTAGTAGCGTCCTTGCTCCTAGTAGCGATGACAGCAGCCCTCCAGATTTCACACACCCTGGTCCATACAATGCAGGTCTTCTTGCAAGGCATGATGGTCAAGGCAAATTGGCGATCAGGAGGCGGCAGACGAGCAGCATCCTAAACGGCTTTGCATGCTGTAATGCCAAGTAAACTGTTTTTCTCGAGATTGTATTCAAGTCTGCAGCTGAGGTTGGCAACAGTGATTTGGGGGAACTTAGCAAGACCAACGATTTCGAAGAAGGTGGAATGAGGCTGGGTCAACTCGGGCGATGTAGCTGTGGCCAGGTGATTAGTCTGTTACACGCTGGGCCCGCTGCAGGCAGTTTGCCGGAGACCGTGGCCATCGCGACAGACGATGGAACCTGAGCAGTGTGAATGAATCTGACCTGAGTGTAGAATTTGCAATCTGACCACCTGTTTTTTTTTTTCACTTTGAGGTGGTGTTAGAAGTCGCTCAAGGAAGCGGTCGCAACCTGAACAAGGCTTTTTGCACTTAAGACCCACAGACCACGGGTTCTGGTTGCGCTTGTTTCGTCTCCTAGCGACTCCTAGTGTCCTGCAGCGCTCCTCGGTCTAAGGCGTAGCCGCTCTCGACGCCGCAGTCGCTCACGAAATCGTCATGACCGCCCTGGGCGGGAAGCAAGCCCGGAACCTCTCAATAATCTCAACACGATTTTTTCCTTCTTCAATACTCGTTTAGCGTGTTTTGCACTGCTCTAGCGGTTTTCTTTGTGCCTAGGGCGTGAGAAAGAGCGAAGTCGTTCCAGAGAACGTTCCAAGCCTGGATTCAGTTTGGCATCGCGTTGCCAAACTAGTTTTCCATATGCAAGGATTGTATGATGGGAATTTGAGGTGTTTGTGAACTGCCCTGTTTTGACCAAGGCCAAACACATAGCCAAAGTACGGACTAGGTTCTTTTGTTGCATAAGATGTTGCTGCAGCTGGTTGCTGTCAAGATCTTTCGGGCGCAATTTTCGCCATGGCCCCGGAATCTCTGTGTGCACCAGCGGCGACGCACAGGCCCTTGAGGCCATTGTTCCTCGCCGCTAATGACCCGTCTGTGAGGTGTTTGTCGGAGTGAAAGAACACGTGCTTGGACATATTGTACTATATTGTAGCAAGGACGCTACTAGGGGCTCCTGGCATCGCTACTAGGAGCAAGGACGCTATTAGGGGCTCCTGGCCTTACTACTAGGAGCAAGAAGCAACTAGGGGCTCCTGGCATCGCTACTAGGAGCAAGGATGC